AAAAAAAAAAAAAAAAAAAAAAAAAACCACCTCCCCCCCTCTCGCCGCCCCCCATAGTCCGTCAACTACTTGGCATTGCTTCCACGGCAGCCGTCCACGAGCATCGCCAATGGCAACATCATGAAATTCACAACTGAAAAAAAAAAAGAACTCCATGACGACGGCAAAAAACCAACTTTGATCAACACAGCACGTAATGGCCTACATGGCCGACCGACCACGGATGGCGGCAACGATCTCCAACAGTGCTTGGCACATTATCCTCTGCGTCTCATCGGACGCCGCATAATGCGCTTTTTGGACGGCAACTTCCTGCTCCAATATGTCGCATTGCCTCGTGAAGATGCTGCATTGCCGCTTGCTAGAGGATTCGATCGTCGACGACATCAGTGCGCCATGGCGTTCCATGACATCAGAGATGGACTCGAATGCCTGCTGACGCGCGTTCTTCCGCTTTCCGCCTCCCGCCACGCTGCCTACGTTGCTGCCGGACTCCCTCGCAGAAGAACGCTCGTCAGGGCAGCCTTCACCGGCCGCCTCACAACAAACAGACTCCCGCCACCCGCTCCTCGCCTGGGCAGCTGCACCCCATCCGGACTGCCGGTGTCGGCAATGATTGGAGGGAAAATCGTGTGGTTCCCCACCGTGCCTGCGTGGATCTCGTTGTACAGCGCCCTGTCCATCCGGAACTTGAAGTTGTGCTCCTTCCTCTCTTCGTTCGTCAGCCTGAAAAAATCTGGCCGCCTGCTGGCATTCTGAAACCTCTGAATTTTCTTGTAGTTCTGGAACAGATTGTCCCACTTCTTCATGCAGTCGTCAGCGTCCTTCGGCCTCCCCGCATTCGCCATCCGCTTCGACATGTCCTCCCACTTCCACTCTTTTGTCTTCATCCGCCCGTAATTGTGAGACAAGCCGGGGAGGTGCATATCTTGCTCCCGCTTGCATCGCACCCGGAGCATTTGATCTTCTGCAGACCAGTACGTTGGAGACTTCCCGGCATCGTCACTTACGCCACCTCTGCCTCCACGGCCAACGGATCGACCACGGACACCACCTTTGCCGCGTCCTTTCCCCCTCCCAGCCGTCTTCCCCAAAGGCCGAATTGGAACGTCGTCGTCGTCGTCCCCCGCTTCCACGTCTTCCCTCATCCCTTCGTCTGCGTCGTCACCGAAGCCAACGTCGTCTTCGTCTCCATCACTGTGTGTCCTCATGTTCGACAATCCACGTGTTATGTTCTCCACAGTGGGTCGTGGACGTACCGGCTCTCTGCACGTTCCCTCGTCCCTCATTCCGGATTCAACCGGTGTTGTGCACGCAGGCATCATCGAATGTGCACCGCCCATGCGCAGGGGCCCTGCTGCCACCCCGAGGGGTGCGGGCCAGGTCGGTGTCAATCGATCGACAGACGGAGCAGTCGATCCATGATGCCATCCCGCTGGCGATGGCCCAACCGCGCCAGTCACGGGTGCAGCGCGACAAAGTGTGGACTGCTTTGTATGCAGACTTCCACCATGCTCAACGCCACGTGCCGAATGATCTCCGTCGATGATGAACGTACGACTCACCCCCCTGCCGCCGCCAGAACACAACTCGAACCTCAGATCAACTCCTCCGCCGTCGTCGTCCCGCAAGCCTTGATGGAGCAATGACGTGAACTCGCCCCCTTCGTCGGGAGCCGACCCGCCTACTCGCACCGTCTGCGACCACAACTGAGTCGAGCCGCTAGCGAGAGGCAATGTCGAAAGTTCTTCCTTCTCCGGCTCCTCGTCCGACGGGGGCAATGGTGTGTCCCACGACTCCAGATATGTGTACATGGACGGGTCGTACCGCCTTCGAGGCTCCGCCGCAGAAGATCAAACTCCTCCCTGACCTGCGGCAGCAGCCGGTCGTGCCTGCAATCCCCGCCATTAGACGTTCGCCTGCCGCCCGTCTCGTCGAAGCCCTCCTCTTGCGTTGTTGTTTCCACGGCCGCCACGAAAAACACACGTAGAGGAAGACGACAATCAGGAAGACGACGACAGCAAGTACCAGCAGAGGCAATCTCCTCCGCACGTCAGCCATGAAATTCACCTTTGCAGCCGCCCTCTCACGTGACCACTGCAGATGTGTGTTCCGACATGCCCGCGACAGGGGCGCTCGACCTTCATATGCGGACAACCACCAAAGAAGACGACGAACACGCCCGCCTTCCTTTTGAAATTCGACCGTTGCGGTGCGCGCTGCCCGAGTCGGCTCCGTCTGTCGTCCTGCGCACGTCGACGTCCCACTCCGCATCTCGCAAGCGACCCAACGGTCCAGTATGGGCAACCACCCGCCGACGCTCGGCCCTCCGCGCTCCACCCCCTCTGCCAACGGCTACCGTGTGTGGTCGTTGTCCTCGTCGAGCCGCAGAAAACCTCCGATGTCCGACCACCGACTCGACGGACCGCTTCTGGACCACCAACGAGTGTCGACGGTGCCATGCGCGCGACGCAACGACTCCGTGAAACGCGGGAATCCTAAATTTTTCAGTAGGTCAGGGGCTACTGGAAAATTGAGGACGATCTTGCCTGGGGAATCCTAAATCTTTTCGGACTAGTCCTAACGCCGTTTTCACATTTCCGATCTCCGATTTCGTTTTAGGACTGTGTGCAACGAGGACGCAGTCCTAAAAACAGGCATTTTTAGAAGTGTCTAACGAGACCTTATATATCTTCTTCAGAAAAGTTAAAAACGTTTGTCAGCCTGATCTCCACTCGTGAAGCCATGCACTCTCCAGAAAGTTGTTTTGTGGAGAG